TATTTGAAGCCTAACGTGCCCTGAACCTTCCGTTCCCCACCCACTTCTAAGTCCTGTGTTCTTTTCCTGGTGCTCTCTTGTCTGCCCCTGTTTATTGCTTTGGTTTTGAGTTTTTGCTTTGTCTTCCACGAATCTGCCTCCACCTACCCTCTGTCTACACAGCCTGGGCTTACCCTTGCCTCTCTGGTAGCCAGGTTCCATTGCTAGTTCATGACACTCCCACTCTAAAACAGAAGCACAGAATAAACACAGGCTGTGCCCACTTGAAGTTGGACAGGCAGCCTCCCAGTTCCACGGGAATAGCTTGCAGGCCGCTGGGGCCACAGCGCCAGCTCCTGTTGGGTGTCCCAGCTTTGCTGGTGCAGCGCTGTCAACAGGTGGTGGCTGCCCTGCAGTGCAGACTGGCTTCAGGAGAGCTAAATCACTAGGCCTTAGGCACTGACCAGGTCCCTGCGTGCCAGGGGGGTGGGGTGGGTGCACTTTTGAAAAAGCAAACTTGTGAAATTAAAAAAAAAAAACACTAATAAAACTTCATTCCATTTCATAAATGGCCAAGCAAGGGTTAAATTGTGAAGCAGAACTGAGGCTGCTGAATCACTTGATTTGACAGAATTGATTTTTTTTGGGGGGGGAGGAAACATTTGCTTTGTTTATCTAATACATTTGCAATGGAGCCAAATTGGTGTTTGTGGGGGGTGTTGTGTGTGCAGAAAGCCTTAGCTATCACCAGGTTGCACAGTACCTAGACAGACGGCGCAGCATATCTGTATCTGTGGCGTTAAAATTTCATGGAGAGTAGTGGAAATGACAAGGCAAAAAAGGCTCAGGAAAACTCTTAGGAAAGAGTAATGATGGGGGAAAGAAAGATTGCAAGAACTATTTTATCTTAACTAGCCACAGCCTCGCAGCCATTTGTTCTGCATCTAGTCCGGAAACCTAAGCCTGCTACCAATAATGCATTCAGCACGTGTGGTCGGTCGCTCACGGGGCTCTGCCCGCCGGCCATCCTCTGCAGGCTAGCATCTCCCTGCTGCTGTAGTACTCTACAGTACCTGTCACATGCTCTACACCACATCAGGGACAGAAGGGGAGGAACCAGACACGCACCCGCAGGCAGGGATGCAAAATGCATGCTGCGGGCTGCTTCCCAGGAGGGCCGCCTGTTTTGTTTTGTCAGTTTAGGGACACGGCACAATGGAATTTCACATTCTCTTAAACTTTTTTTTTTTGTACCACCAGTTGAAAAGCAGATTTGATAACACTGACAACAGGCCAACACAAATAGATTCCTTTATACATGGTACTCTTTATTTGATCAATTTTTGAAACATTGGGCTCAATACTAAAATCATGCTTAGAGTCAAATTGGACACTCTAGGATTCTCTAATTAATCAATTGGCACATGTTAGGAGCTGAAGGGGATAATCAACAGGAGCCTCTCCAGCTTGCTTTAGGAGAAACTGAGGTAGAAGGCGGCTGAGCAAGGCACAGGCTCCCAGGACCAGGGCTCGAAGCAGGCTGCGCTCAGCCCAGCAGCACCTGCTGCCTCAGATTCAGATGCCCAAGTCTGAGACATGAAGATTTAAGAAATAAAATCAGCAAGGTCTAAACCACAGCAGGAGGAGAAATTCCATGTTCCTTCTAGAACATGAGGCGTGAACATGTCATCTGAGAATCCCATGCCCACTCCGGGCAGTGCCTAGGGAAGGGCAGTACTTGAGCTGGCACATGGCATCACTGGCCTCTGGAAACGCCATTTAATTTTAGTGTTTTTTTTTTTTTTTTTTTTGTGATGGATCACCTTCCTGCCAACGGACTTTTCCCACACCAGGCTTTCGGCTGTTTCCTCTCAATAGCGTATTCCTCTTAAAGAGCAGATAAAGTAAGAGACAGATAAATTAAGCAAAATTCATGCATTTTTTTTTTTTTTAAAGAACCTCATTCTTACCAAGAGTGAAGTTTTGGCTTTCGTCTTCAGTAACTCTTCAGTCGTAGCTGCTATGACAGCTGAAGGGTAAGCAGGGTGGGGCTTCTTGTACATTAAAGAAACATTTCAAAACATTTGTAAACTTTAAAATCTGCCAATCAGTTCTGATAAATAAGAGATTAAACATTTTCTTTACAAATTTTTAGAAGTAAATCTACATCAGGTTTCTGACACCAAACATTATTTCCACGTTGCCATGTAATTTCCATGTCCAAACTTTCCACTGGGCAAATGAATAACGTAGTAAGAGAAAAAAATCCTAAGGGTTGGGGCATACCATCCTGTCTACCTCACTTTATCCCCCATCTCCATCTGAAATGTAACAGGATGTGTGGCCCGCTAGGTGTGCTCTCCTCCGAGCAGACCCTCCCTAAGAAAAGGGCAAGAGAGTCCATTGAAATGCTAAGTCCAGCTCAGCAGCCTGAGACAGTGGGACAGTTGGGAAACAAGTGAGTTGGGAATGTTGGGAGAACTTGCTAGAAATGGCCCTGGAAAAGGAAAGCAGCTGGATCCCAGTGCCTCAAACTCAGAATGAGCACGAAATGTCTACTGAGCAAGAAGCTCTTCTCCCCCGGTGGCTGTGGGATGGGGGTTCCTCCTCCACAGATTTGTATCGCTCCTATTGGTTGGTTCACGTTGGAATCAGAAAGGGGAGGGGAGGAGAGAAGATGAGACGGGCGGGGCGGGGCGGGGCGGGGCAAGGAAGAGCTCGGACCGGTAGCAGGATTTCCCAATTGGTCTGTAATCGCTGCATCTGTTGCTTGGGGGCAGTTGACTGACTACCTTGTGTGCACTACAAGAAATTGTTGGTGGGGACCTAGACCAGAACCCGGTGCATTGCTTACTGTTTGGGGAGCCAGCCTCCCCTCTACAGCTTTTTTTTTTTTTTTAAACAGGATTAAGTGGTAGGGGATAGGCACAAAGAACCTTATTTGTTTTTAAAAATGTGTTTAATCATCCCACAACAAGGCAACATGCAAATTTAGCTAATGAAAAATCGGGCTCAACGTAAAAACCTGGCCCCTGGGCTACCCATACTGAAGCTAGCTCTCACGGAAATCCAACGAAACCCCCACCTTTCTCTTGCTTGTTAACTAAAGACCACTTGCGCAGTGAACACAGGCTACTAAAACATTAGCAGAGGAAAAACTGGACGCTTAATGTCACGGAAATGTCACAATCATTGTTTAAGAGGAAATTTTAACTTAAGGAGAGCACCATTTCACTTGTTCAGTTTCATATCATCAAGCCAAAAGCAGTCAGGTCCACGGCTTCCTCCAGACTTCAGACACCAAGTGCTGCCGGGGTGAACCCCGGCTAACAAACCGCCTTCCTCCGTTTACCAAAGACCACACGGCCACCCGACCGACCGTCATTAACCGTCATTAGCGCCGCAGCCCAGCGGAACTAAGTTCTGGAGCGCTACGACTCCTTGCTAGGTCTTGGAAGGAGGAGGACCACTTAAAGTGCTTTCCTCTGGCACCGTCCTTTTCTTAATGAGCTTAAGAGCACGACCTTTTCTCATTTCCAGCCGGCCGAACGCCTCACGCACCCCAGCCGCCCACCCACCATTCCCAGCGGAACTCAAGCCGGCGTTAAACCAGACGTGCGCGCACCAAGACAAAAACTAAAACAAAGTAATTTCCCGATCAGGTGAGATTCTGTAAATACGTTTCCCTCCTTAGCCTTTCTCCTCAGGACTGGAGAAGGCACGCCAAGGTGCATTACCGGATTGCGGCTGTTTCGCGCTGGACCATCATGGCAGTTTCCCCTCCAGGGTACAGATTCCAGACTTAGCAGCTCTGCGGGAGCCGAAGATGGCCGGGGCGAACTGCCCCTGCTCCAGGCTGCGGAAGCCGCCACGCTCCCCCTCCCCCCAGCACCCGAGCACCGGCGCACCAGACGCGACACCTTTCCCGGCTAGCGGTGTGCTCTTTGGGCACTCAGTCTGGTGTCCCCACGGTAGACGCGACCTTCCCTCCAGCCTATTCCCCGTTCCGCGTTACCTTTCCGCCCACGACCACCGCGCAGACCACTTCGTCCCTATTTTCCCTCCCCCTAACGCCTTGCGCCAACAGCCCAGAAACTTCCAGCTAAGCTGCAACCAGCCCCACCACCTTACCAGCTGCGCCAAAAGGATGGCGATGCCCCGACGTGGTCGAGTCTGCGCGGCCAAACCTGGTAGCCCGTAGGGGCACCCCCAGAAGCTTCTGTACCTCTCCTTCCAGCCCTCTTAAAGACCAGTGATTCGCGGGGAGAAACCAGCCCGCCGGAGAGGTTAGCTCTGCGGCGCATGGACAGGTGCGCACATTCTTTTTTTCCGTGTTGTGGCCCCCCGAGTGCCCAAAAGGTGCGTGGTGGTGGCCAAGGTCGGCGCGGCGGCGGAGGGCACTGGCGCCAAGGGCCGTCCGGCTCTAAGCAGCGCGGAGACCTGGGCTCCAGGCTCCGAGCCCGCCGGGCGCGGCGTGCGCCTGCTACTTCCCTCCGGAACCAGCAGTCCCCGGAGTTCTCGCCCAATCCCATTCTGGTTACTTTTCCCACATTACAGCAGTGTCGCTACTACGCGGCTGTTCTGGAATGGAGAAAGTTGGCGCGCGCACACCTCCAAACCACATTTCGGGCGTTCGCCCAAACCAACTTGTTTGAGACTAACCTTTCCTGGAGGAGAGGAAAAAACACATAAAACAAGTGACTTACCATTGTCGTTTGGGTGTCCAGCTCACAACTCCAGGCACGCACAGGATTCGGTCCCTTGGCCAGGGCACCAGCTCGGAGACCACAGGTTGTCTCCAGTGAGGCGCAAGGAGCCCCTCACCGTCAGACAAACCTTTGGCCATCCGGGGCGCCCTGGGAAGATTCGGGGAGCCTTGGTCTGCTCACCCCAACCCTCTTCTCTGCGCTATCTGAGCCCCCTCCCGTCCCACCTTGCCTGTTGCTTGTTTTCCTTCTCCACCCTTCCTTTTGCAAGATCTGCTTGCCCCCAGGGTCCCTCCCGAGGGCAACTCAACTAACCTGAATCCATGAAAACAAGGAGAATCTGGACGGCGTCCTCCATTAGTGACGCCGGATGGGGATGGGTCCCCTTTTGGAAGGGGACTCCGGGGATTTGTCGCGGCGGGTGGGCTTTTTTGGCTTGCAGCGGCGCTGCTTCTTCTGCTTGGGCTCTTCAGACTCTTCGGGGTCCCTCGGATCCTTCTCCTCGGGCTCGGACTCCTCCCCCTCGCTGGAGCTGTAGAGCTCCTGAGTGGTGGGCTGTGCGCGACTCGAGGAGGCGTCGGGGCTTTGCAACTTCAGAGCGTGCAGACGCTGGGTGAGAGACTGGTTGAAGGTGGAGCCCTTGAGGGGGCCGCGCTCGTCTTCTGGCTCGGTCTCGGGCTCAGTAGCAGGGGCGGTCTCGGGCTCGGGCTCGGGCTCGAAGTCGGTCTCAGACTCGATTTCGGACTCGGTCTCGGTCTCCGTCTCGGTCTCGGTCTCGGACTCGGTCTCGGTCTCGGTCTCGGTCTCGGTCTCGGTGGTTTCCGTCTCGTAATCAAACTCTTCCTCGTACTCTAGGCACTCGGGAAGGGACAGCTCAAGGTTTCCCTCCTCGTGCTCGTGGTCGGATTCGGATTCAGGGGACTCAGGCAGTACCTGGGCACCGGTGCGATGGTGGGCGTTAAGAAAGCTCCGGCGCTGCCCAGCAGCCGCGCGCTGCTGGGTACGGGCGTTGGAGGAGGCGAGGGCGCGGAGGAGCGCGATGGAGCAGGAGAGCCAGAGGAGCGCGGTGGCTGCCCGGCGGCCGATGGGCGAGCACAGGTCGTTGTAATTATGGCGAGCTCGGCGCCACTGGTGAGCCCGGGACCTGCGATCCATCCTCTTAGGCGCGCACCGAGAAGCCGACCTGCCCTCTGGCTCCGCAGAGAGTGGCCCCAAGGCTCATTGGCTGCTACAACCGAAAAAGGTGCACCCTGAGAGGTGAGAAGCTGGGTCCAGAGGTCCCAGTCCCACCTCTGTCAGGAGAGAAAAGGAAGCACCTACCTTCCTGACCACTCAAGAACTTTCTGAAGCTCCGCGCCTCTGCTTGCCTTTCCAAACGCCCGAAAAAAGAGAAGGGAAAAATAATCTGTCTCCTCTTAGGCGCCTCTCGCTAAGCCTTAGACTCTGCGGTCTAAGACTTGAGAGGTGCCTCCGCTGTTCCTCTCGCCTGAGAGAGGAGAGAGGAGACTGAGGCGGCGAAAGATGGGGCGGTGAGGTCCTGTGAAGTTGCGCGCCCGGACTTCTGCCGGGCATGTGCAGTAGCGAGGTGGGGGCCACCTCCCCGCGAGCTAAGTCGTGGTACGAAGCTGATGGCGCAGACCCTGGTGGGCCGGCAGGTGGCAGGCGGGAACCTTGTTTGGAAGGATTTGGGCGAAATCTTGGGGGGTGGCTGGCGCCGGCGCGTGCCAATGAACAAGCGAAAGAGCTCTAGCCACAGGTAGGTTAACTCGGGTAGCTGGAGCCGATTTCACCCTGCAGTCTGTCCCCCTCCCCAAATTCTCCTGGATGGAATGAACATAGCCCTTCAGCAGCTGAAGACCAGATTGCAAAATTGCAAATCTTTAGGGGGATAAGGGTCTCTACCTGAGCGTGGACGAGCAGCCGGGGCATTTTCTAAGGGCTTGCCAGTTTTAAGGGTGATAGCCTCAGGAACTCATTAATCGTGAAATCACCTCTGGCAGAACTGTTACAGTGACTGTAATTAGAGAAGCTTCCAAAAGCTTCTGTATGACCTGGGGAATCTTGCCTGGCTAGTTACCTCCTGGACAAACAAGCCTCTTTTCTAAGAAAGGAGCCCACAGTTCTAGAGGCAGTACCTCTGGGAACCCGCGGTCCCAGCTAGGAAGGTGTGCTGCAAGACTGAGGAGAGCCGGAGAGAAGACTTGGCTGCCCCGTCCCCGAGCAGTCTGAGCAACTGCTTCTCGCGGGGAGGAGAGTGCTGACTGGCACCGAATCTTCACTGGACGCTCTTAGAGCTGCTTCTTAGGTAAGTTTTTAACAAAGGTAATTTGACAAATACTCCCAGAGTGCCTAGCACATGTCACGCTCCATCTAGGTGCTGAAAGCAAAATATTGGGCAAAAAACTCTTACACTGAGGAAAAAATATTGAGAATTGAATCTGTTAATAGGAATAGGGAATCTTTAGAATCCCCCCTTACCTGCCTTTTTCTTTACTTTCTTTTTCTTTGGTGGGGGGCAGTACTGGGGCTTGAACCCCAGGTCTTGTGCGTGCTAGGTAAATTGCTCTATCACTGAGCTACAGTGCCAGCCTTTCCTGCTGTTTAATCCAGCTTGAATTCTACAAGAGCAAACCGATCTGCCAGAGCATCGGAGCTAGGGGGCGGCCAGATACCACTGGATGGTAGTGTTGAATTGAGCTCTGAAGGCTAAAGAGTGGGAGTCAGCTACTCCCACTCTTTAACTCTGGAAAATGAAATGGGGTGGGGGGCTGCACTGCAGAAGCTTTTGAGTTTCATCTGTAATAATGACTGCTTCTTTTGGGATGTGTGTGTCTTTGGTCCTGTTAAATATGGAGTGTCCTTTTTGTTATAGTAAGAGGTCAAAGGTGATAAAGCTCAGAGCAAAGCCAGCCTCCTAGAATCCATGAAGTGTCAACAAGGTGACTGCACCTGGGACAGGTCGCCAGCTGGGCTCTTTTCTCCTTGAGTCAGTGGGGGAAGACTCAGGGAAGAGGAGCCACTTCTCCTAATTCTCTGCTTTTCTGTTTGAACTGATCCACCAGGCGTTCCTTTCTGGTAGTTGAATAATCATGCTCCCAAAGCCATTCCTCATTACCTGCACTCTTTTTTTTGGGGGGGGGGGAGGAACCCAACTCAGGACCTTGCACTTGCCAGGCAGGCACATGTGCCCCAGAGCTGTCTCCCCAGCTTATTACCTGCATTCTTGATACCTGCATTAGAGCTGCCAGATTCAAAATTGAGATATTAGTGAGATTCCGGCTGCTGCTTCTGATGGGGCAGTGGTTTTGTTTTTGCATCTTGGCTGTGTCTGTGTTGTACCTCGTGTTCTAGGACTTGAGTCTGTAACACTGAAGTACTGATTACGCTAATAAAGAGGAGTTAATTTGGCTAACCTCACAAAAGGACAGAGGTCTGTCTTCCCATTGTAACACTTTGTGAGGAAGCAAGGTTTCAGTTGTCACCAGCACTGGCATGGCTGTGAGCACCACGAGCATGGTTATGTGGCCCTGGACAGGGCATTTGGAGCTCTGTATTTCCAATCCTGCTGGTCTCTGCCTCCAACTCCCAACTGACGAGTAGTTCGTGTTCATATTGAACTGCCTGCTTTACTTATTTCAATTAGAACAGTTCCACCAACAGTGTATGGAGAATAAATATATTGGTTGAGTTGATTTCAGGGCATATTGAAAAAAAAAAAAAGTAGGAATATGCAGGTGCTGGTAAATGCCCTTTTAATGGAAACTAATCCCAGCCATCAGCAGTGAGGTGGGTTATGATTCTTTAGTGTACACAGGAAAGTACTTCATTTTTCAGATGGAGTCCTTAGTGCCTATAATGGAGATGGCAGCCCAGAGACAATTCACTAATACAGATACACTGATACCGCCTGCAGTATTAAAAAATAGGCGTTACATGATACATATTTTTGGACTAGATTCTACAATAGCAATGTATTTTCTTTGAAAAATGCATTTTAATCAGCAACAAAATGTTCACCAAAACAATGAATTCTTGAGCCCTGGTCATATATGGTTACAAGCGCATTTCAGTATATGCTCAGCACGGGCTCTAGGAGGAGCAGGGCACTGCACTGAAATACTGTTCCATCTCACACTTGGCGTCGAGGTTGAGCACATGGATCTGCAGACTCGAAAAAGGGCTTGCTGCAGAGTGAATTTCAAAAAGGGCCAAGTGGGTGATGACTGACCTCAGTTGTTCCCACACTAAGGAACAAGGGGCTTTCTCTGTCTGCTGGTAAATGAAGTATAGCCATGTATTACTCTCAGGACTTTGCCAGAGGGAGGCTTCTCAACCAGGTGGTCGGGAAGTGCTGTTTTTGGGTCACTACACTATCATGCGCTAATGTTTTTATTTGGACGAATTGTCAAGAATGTTGTCTTCAGCCCCTTAAGAGTTTTATCATGTGGAAGGGACTTTAAGAGTTACTTTTATGGCTCCAGAAGGGCAAAATTAAAGCCAATGGGTGGCGTTGGTTGATATCTGTCAGCTAACCCCAAGGAGGAATATTCTAACAAGCAGGGCTCTGAAGTAGAACAGGTCTTCAGAAGGTTGTTGGCTCTTTGTCACAAGCAGTGGGGAATCAAAGGACAGAGGGGCGCATGTTGAAGATATGTCTGATGGTCCTCATGAGCTGGGTAGAGTTGAAACATCGGGCTCACCGTGGTCCTTTTCAGCTCAGATCTGGTTTTCATGACATCATCCAGGGACTAGAGGAGAAGGACTGGGAGCAGGCCAGCAGTGCTCAGCTCTGCTTCTGTTTGGAAGCCTTTAAAAATGCAAATAGTGCAGTGACAGGAGGAAATATCTGGGTGGCAGTTTCAAGACATGGGAAAACAGGTGGATATGATGGACTTGTGGACCAGTGTGGAGCTTTTGTCATACAGCAGGGCTCTGAGGCTCTTTGCTCCACAAGTCACTTGGACAAAGACATCAGTGAAGTCCATCTATTAATTACATCGGTCCTCTTTGCCTCCCCTCCTGGAGCTGTCTCGGAAATTACAAATGAAATTGGCTATTTAGCAATCATGAATTGAGTCACTTCTGTGACCACAACACTATTCCTGGCATTGTGGGAAGAACAAAGTAATTGAAGATGAGCAATTCCTACCATCCAGTGTTACGTGTATCTAGTGAAATGCCCCAATATTGAAAGCAGCTTGCCAACAGGTACAGAAGAGTGAATGTCACCTCCGATAGGGACATGGGAGGGAAGCTGAGCAACAGTGGTTAGAATCAAAGGTACAGTTTGGTGGCTTTCTAAAAGAGGTGTTTTGTTTGTTGCTGATTTTTTTTTTTAATTTGGTCTAACTTTGAAGGGTTTTTTGATTTTTTCAAAAGCTCGTGAAAAAATGTTCAAATGAAAAGGGTAATGACTGGGGCAGGGGAAAAGGGACAATAAAAAAAGAATAGAATGAAAAAATGGAAACAAAGTTTTTGTAAAAAAGGGGGGGAGGGGCTGAAGGGAAGGGGGAAACGGAAAAAAAGCAGCGAAGGGTGCCATGTGCAGGTACAAACTCCATGTGATGAGTATAGCTAAAAGGGACCAATACCCAAAAAAAGTCCTATATTGTCGGAAAGTAAATAAGTAAAAGCCCATGAGACAACTGCTTTCAACCCGCCTCTTCCCAATGCCTGCCATGTGCCCAGCCACCGTGTGGGTCCTTGGGGGACCGCCATGAGGCACGTGTCTAGAGGGCCTGTGGGCTACCGTCATGGGTCTGATAGACTCTAAGACATATTCCAAGATGAGACTCAAGATAAAGGGCTGGCTCTGCTCTGTGCACTGCGTGGGTATAATCACTCTTGAGCATGTGTTTTGGACAGACATTGGAAAGGGTTATTTTTGGAGATGGAGAGCTTTTCAAACTTTCCTTTGGATGGAAATTAATTCAGAGACTTTCAAGTACTCCCCACCCCTCACTGTGGCAATCAGCCGGAAAGGCTCAGCCCCACTGAGAATCTGGCCTAGGCCCCCCTGCCTGTTCCCCAAGAGGACTGGGGACAATACAAGAGCTGTTGGCTCGTCTCTCTAGGGTACTGTTTTTCTGTGACTCAGACTGCATCAATCTCAGTTGGCTCTCACCAGCAGAAATGGTGAAAACTCGAGTTCCTGATTTGAAGGGAATGTAATCTCAAGCTAAAAGCAAACAGTAAAGGGAAATCATCTTTCTGACATGGTTGAGTTCTGTCCAGGCCATCGTTGGATTACAATACTGCAGTTTTGATTCATTTTGAAAGGGACATAGGATGAAAATTGAAGCATGTTCCTGTATGCAGAGATAGTTCTTTTTAGTTGTCCCTGTCCCTTCATTGTGTGCTCTGTGTAGGTGACACCTGTCTGCCTCCCTCTGTCCTGCTGTGGGAGGGGCAACGTGTAGATTCCCAGGCACCAAGAAGAGCCTGGAAGCTCACATAAATGAAGGTGCAGCTTCAGTGCA